GTCTATAATATATGCATTAACCCATATACATGCACTTGACCTGTTGAACAAATTTGCAAGTGTCCCATACACCACACAAAGGTCACTGACCTGGAATTTTTTCTGCAACTGGCTTAACAGTTAGTTCTGAACCTCTAAATCTCTAACTCTGAAAACATATGTAATCAAGCCTCATAACATAAAATTCTTAACCTAAACTACATATAATGCACATTGTGGAAGTATCTAAATTAACATTATCTCAAACTGGCATGCCACACATTACTATTTTACTACTCTGCAACAGCACTGAAATACAGCTGGCAGCTAAGACAATGCTCATCTAAGTTTTACTTAAGCCTTCAATTAGCCTTAACCCATGACCTTTTATTCCACAGACTGCCAGAGCAATTTTGACAGTAGTGCAACTTGGAGTCAATTTCACTATTTTTTTCCACCTGTTTACACTAGGTGTAAGAAAAAAATTAAAGGCTACTGGTGTTCTTTAGTTGTAGCAGCGGCACAGAACATCAGAATACACACCCTCCCATTTCATTTTGAAGAATGTTGTGTAACAGTTGGGAAGGAATCTTACCTTTACAATGAGGGAAGACAGAAATGCTGTATATATAATTTGTATGTCCATAATACACCTGCAGACACTCGCCAGTGATCTGCCATCTTCGAACACTAGCGTCATTAGCACAGGAAAGGAACTCCATTTCACTGAGAATAGCTAAACCTCTCACACAATCTTCATGTCCTTTACAAAAGCAAGAGAAATGTTTAATGCAGTTATTGTCTCCATTAGCCAGTATACCACTTCTGTATAGCTCATATTTAAATCCAGGCAACAAATCTTTGTGGGTACAGTTAAAAAAAAAATTAATTGCTCCAAATTCTCTGAAAAATATCTTATTTTTTTAGAAGCCACATGGCTTCTGGGCATATAACTACTTCAAGACTTTAAAAATTCTGTCTAAATATTGTTCAGTTTACCCATGCTTTTGTAAGATTTTAATGTTTGCTCTCTTCTGACAAGAACACACCACACAATGAAATTATCAACTGCAGCAACATTTACCGGTGAATGTTCTTTCACATCTGCCTGCCTTCCACAGTTTTATAGTTTTGTCAGCTGAACCAGTCAACATTAATCCCTGTTCAGGAAGTATCTTCACTGCCCATATTGCAGCTGTGTGACCCTGCAAAAAAACTCGACATTGTTAAGACTTGTCAGAACCAAATTCAAAGTACTTATTTCATATTCACGTAGAGGAACTTCATACCTGTAATGTCATCATACATCTGTCATTCAGCCAGACTTTTGCTGTTGTATCCCATGATCCACTTAATAATGTGCCAAATTTCCCAGAGGAAAGGCTGCAAACTGGAATGAACATTAAGTCAGAACTGACAAGTACCCTGCCACAAATCTTATGCCAGCAATTTCAAGAGATTCATTTAAGAGGATTTATTTGGTATTAGTAGCATATTTAGTGTTGAGGAGTCTAGAGAAGAAGTAAGTGAACCATAGTTGCATTGCAACCCAGAAAGAAGCTACTTAAAATTCTCTTAATTTTAGGTTTAAAAAATTGAAATATTTTTGCCACTCATATTTTTAAATTTCTCTTAGTCACAGATCTCTTCTCTTGGACTAGAATATGATGACAAACAGGTGAGATAACTAGTTAAGGCACACAGTTAATGCAAATGTGCAGTTTTAAGAGAAAGAAAAGTTTTGTCTATAGGTAATAATTTATGTCTTCAGAAAGTTATTTCATATGAAAAATACTTCGCTCACTTTCTTGGGAGGGCAAAATACTACCACCAAGAAACTGTGGTGAGATTCAAAGATTTAGTAGAAAGGTAATCTGCAATGCTCCAGTAACACAGTGTAAATCTCTGTATTTAAAGCACCAATTAATATTAAAAACCCATCTAAGTAACAAAATGGGCAGAGGAAGTTTATTTAGGAAGCTCATTTTTTTCCACTTGTATCAGCTTTGGCAAAAAAATTGATACATGAAGAACTAACTGCTTCTCAAAAGTACAGTTCTTGACAAAAGGGTGATCATTCTGTGAATTCCCAGGAATTCAGAAAGACAGTGAAAGTTTAAACATTCATCACGATAAACTTGGAGGTCCTTGCAATGAATGGTTGCTGCATGAATTAAGATTATAAAATCCTATTTGCAGAGGACATAATTAAACAGTTGCTACATTATATACCAAATAAATCAAAATTGAGTTTTATAAATTTTATTTAATTGCCTCTCTAATAAATCATGTTAACTTTCATGTAAAAAACTCCGAAGTACCATTACTACATACCTGTGTTTTTATGACCCTTAAGGACGTAAAGAGGAGCTGGGTTGTCAACGGTGAAAATGCAAATATTGTGATCATTGCCACCAGTTGCAATCAGCCCACGAGGATAGAGGTCACTTGGAGGTATGATGCACACGCAAGATACAAAATTTGAGTGGCCACTCATACAGTGCATCTCAGTAAAACCCCTGTTAAGAGTTAAACATAGATGATTATCAGTTTAGAATCATGACAGAAACAGTACTTTATTTGAGTAAATGACAGTTCCTTAATTAATAACAATGCTTGCCTTGCACTGAATAACTACTATGGATGGCCTAGAAAGAGCCAATTTAAGACAAAAATGACAAGCCAGAATTCCTCCCTGTACACAATACTGCTTTCCCCTTATTTTTCAATGCAGTGGTAGGCCTGGAAGGACTTTTGTTTTTTCTTGCTCATTGGCAAACACTATGCCAAATTTGATGAGAAATAGTTACAGTTTGTCTTTATGGCATCTTTGTCTGAAAAGTCAAATGTATATCCAAGTACATGCTAAAGTAAGAGCACACAAATATAGTTTGCTGCCAGTTAAGTGTATTCACTGGCTCTTCATCAGGAGCACTATAGAGAAATAAAAGTCAAACAGACTCAACCAGCACCCTCATTTCTTCACCCTGAGCCAATCTCAGTAGTTACAGCACTAACTGAAAAAATATACTTATTCCCATAGAATAAGTACACAGGTTGTGGTGCTGTGTGCTAGTTTTGCTGTCCTGTGTTTGTTCCCCGCCCTCAGAAGCACAAGCTACCATACGATGTCATACTGCTATGCTTCCAACCCTAAAGCCTGGCAAGCTTGAAATGTGTAAGGGAATCACGACACTCTTCTAAATTTTAAAACATCTCCCCTTAAGGAACATAGAACAAATCAGAGAAGGCAACATCTCTTCTTGGAAAAGCTGAACCGAAGCAGCACACAGCAGTGTGTGCGCTCACCCACTGAACCCTGACTACTCCAGCCCCTGAGCCTTCAAAGCAGAGAAGGATAATCAATATCAACATTTTAAGTTGATACAAGTAACTCACAAAGTTCTCAAAAACTGTGGGTTAGAATTAGAATTCCTTTCCTCCTGCAAATTCCTGTGCAATTTAGCATGTTCTTTCTCTTGTGATGAGAGACTTAATAAGATTAGTTTTTCTTCACCTCAGTCCAGAGCTCCAGAGCTCAACACGAAGGCACATGTAAGCACTCTGCAAATTTGCCAATTATTTCTATTTCACATGAAGCCAATGGGAAGAATATGCATGCCCAGTAACTTCAGAATACAGATCACAACACAGAAGTACAGCTGGGGAGGACGTACATGCTGTAGCTTCCAGCAACAGCCCACATCTCCCACACACACTGCTTAGCAGAGTATCTGGTCTGCCTCTGGTCAAGGTAACACACTGAAAAATTCACTTTGTGAATTCAACTACACAAATTCAGTAGGAGACAGCCCTGTGCAACATGAACATCAGAAAAATTAATCTTGGGGTATTTTTTTTCTTTTTCTACGTCTTTGTGTATTTAATTTTCTGTACAGCTTTTTTTTTGTTCATATTCCATTTTATGTTTAAAGAAGCTTGCTTAGCAAGGGTGAGAAAGGATGGGGTTTTTTTGAACATTCAAAACACACTGCCTCACTGTAAAAATAGCAGCACTTACTTAGCAGGATTACTTGGGCACGGAATACCATGAGGTGGAAACAACATTATTAATACCACCTAGAAAAAAAGATGCCTAGAAAATATAGGCATCGTTACCGTGCCCAAAGGCATGCAGAAGCTAGGCTTGCTCAGCCTGGAAAAGAGAAATTTGCATGGAAACCTCACAGCAACCTTCCAGTACCCAAAGGGGCCTGCACGGCGCCCACAGAGAAGTTGTGGATACCCCACCCTCGGAAGTGCTCAAGGCCAGGATGGACAGGGCTCTGAGCCAACTGCTCAGGTGAAAGGCGTCCCTGCCCGCGACTGAGGGACTGGGATTGCTGATCTTGAAGGTCCCTTCTAAACCCCTGACGTGATTCTCCGCAAGCGACAATGCCAACCACCAGCGCCTCCTGCGAACGGGCTCCCGCCGCCCGCCACCTCCCCCGGCCCGGCCGATTCTGCCGGCAGCCCCTGAGAACTCCGCTGCACAGACGAACGCGGCGGGGCACGGGCGGAGCCCCTGTGGCGCCACCTCCACGCTCGCTCTCCGCCGCGGCCCAGCACTCACCCAGAGTCAGGGGCCCAGAGCCGCGCGGTTCTGTCCCGCGAGACGGACACGAAGCTGCCTTCCGGGAAGAGGCCCCGGGTGAGGCCGCGCACGTCCTGGCCGTGCCCCAGCAGGGAGCAGCGCAGCCGGAAGGTGCTGCCCTCACCCGCCATGGCGGCAGCGCCGGCCTGACACAGCACGGGCCGCGCCGCCGCCGGAAGCCGCGCCGGAAGCGTCGTCACAGGGCGCGCCGCCGGGCCGACGCCAGGCTTCTTATCCCGGCAAGCACCGCGCTTGTGGCGCCGGGGCTTCGCCAGGCCCTCTGGGAGTCGTAGTCTTCGGGGGCAGCGGCAGGCCGGAGCGCGACTTGTGGCATCGCGATAGCGGCGCGGCGGTTGCTGCGCTACGGCGGCGCGGCGCGCGGGCTGGTGGCGGCCGCGGCGCGGTGAGGGACGGGCCCGGCCGGGAGGGCGCCTTCGGGGGTGGCGAAAGTCGCCGGGGTTCATCAGGGATAGCGCAGCTCGGGGTTGCTGTAGTGATGGGCGGTGGATTACGGACCCTCTGTAGATAAGCGGAATGAGTATTTGCACCAGTTGCTCGCTTCCAGTTTGTTTCATTAAAGATTTGCATTCAGGTGCTGAAGCGACAAATGCCACAAGAATAAGCTGAGAGCTCACAAAACACTGAAAAGAGACTGCTGCCTCAGCTTACTCGTGGACATTAATTAAGTGGTCCTTCCCGAGCCCTCGTACCATCCAGTAAGCAAGTACTTTGGAGATTACTAAAAAAAAACCAAAACCAACCCCCCCATAACATTGTAATAAGATTTATGCTTTAAAGAGTCGGTATCCCATAGTTTTAAGGATCTTGTGCAAATCAAAGGATCTTTCCTTTGTTACCAGAGAGTAGGTAAGAAGGAAACGAATATGGCCAGCGGTAACAGACCTCCCACAGCTCGGTCTGCTTCAAGAGCAGGAGCAGGACTGACCTCTTCATCCAGGCCTGCCTCTTCATCGAGGACTCCGTCAGCAGGCAGAATAGGAACAGCGGTATGTTAGAAAATATTAAAAATATATCATTAATTTTTATGGAGTTAGATTTTTTTTTTTTTTTTTTTTTTTTTTTTTTTAGTACCAAGACCGGAATGAGGAGAAGTTCTTTTTTGAAGAAGAATTTAAGATTTCAGTTTTGTATAAAGTTTTGCTGACCTTGTCTGGAGGGGATGAGGGACATCTTGCATCCAGAGTTCGCCCTGGGAGGCCTAAATAGTATTAATGTTGCAGATAGATGGAACATTGAACAGCTGCTCAAAAGCAACCCCTTACCTTCTACAGGAGGTAATAGTTTGAAGCTTTGCTTCCCTGAAGAGATGCAAATGCTATAAGATTCCTACAGAAAGAATGTAGAGACTAATAAGTTTTTAACTGCTTTGTCAATTGCTTAAGGATAATAAAGTAATAATACACACTTGGTAGATTTTTTATTTGGATTTTTTTTTATAGATGCCTCCTAGTACAGCAAGACCTGGTTCTCGTGGTGGTTCTTTAACTCCTGGAGGAGTCTTATCATCTCAGATTAAGGTTGCAGACCGTCCAGTGACTCAACAGGGATTAAGTGGAATAAAAACTGCAATGAAAGGTACTTTATACTGAAAATAGCCCTCAAGATGTCTGCAAACATTTTGAAAGAATATTTAGGTTTTTAAAGGAAAACTTTTCATCACTGTGTAAATTGCAGAGTGAAGAGCTGTGATTAAAAATAGGAGCAAAAAGAAAGAGAAAATTAAAGCATCCCTCTTTCTGTCATTAGTCTTGGTAGCCAAAGAAGATAAGCATTTTTCTATAACTGAGCGGTCTTTAAAAATAATTCAAAATAATAGGATAAGGTTATTATGTCTTCTTCCATCACTGCAGAATGCTTAAAATACTCTATGGTGCAGCAACTTTTTGTATGTTTGTATTAGTAATGTTTATCTTCACAGCAGTCCAAAAATGTCTTCTTTTTTAAAATTACATAATAACCATATTGGGACACCAAAAAATATTAGTTGTACATTTTTTAATGTAAATTTTGCAGATTGTTTTCCTAATTTACAGTTCATCTAAATTAGGGGTTTTTAAACGAAATGTCATATAGTTTTCTTTTATCAGGTCCTCAGAGGCAAATAATGGATAAAACATACTACCTTGGGGTGCTGAGGTATGTCTTAACAACATACTTTTAATGGTCTGTTCCCTTTCAGACACAGAGTTGAAGCTTGACAATAGCATGCAATAAGTGGCGTTCACTCATAATGAACTTTTGTCGGAGTGCTGCTGTAGAAGTGAAGGTTATTTTGCGTATAGATACTCTGTAGGAGCAAAGGAAGTAGGTTCACTTGAGTTTTTGTTGTTAGGCTTGCTAAGTTAAATGTTCTCTCATGGCATTAGTAAGGGGAGGGTCAGTGATTCTGAGCTTCCACCTCCAATGTTTATTACATCTGATAGCTGCATTTGTAACAAGTAGCACTGCAAACCAAACATTTTTGTTGTACATTTCAGATGGTTTCCTTGCATTATACATTCAGCTAGCAAGGACAAAGGCAAGACCTTGTGCAAACTACTGCATGCAGGATTTTATCAGTTGCTCATATTACACTTTTGAATAATTAGTCCTAAAAGATGTAATTTTAAGTATCGATGATACCCACATTCTGTGAAATTACACTGGTTTTTTTTCTTTCCACATCTGTTTTACCAGCAGAGACAAAAAGCTAATTAAAACATTTCATTTCATACCATGGTTTTCCAGCAACCACTTAGGACTTTATCTGATACAACCATTTTGCTTTTTTCTATACTTACCTCTTCTTAGAAATGCTGAGTTGAAACAAAGTGCAGTGTGAGAGATACTAATTGCAAATCTCCTATCATAAAACATATTTACAGTTCTAGATGTGCTTTAGTTGGACATACAAATGTTAATGATTCTTTTTTCTTTATTTTTTTCAGGAGTAAAACAAATGAACTTACAACAGAAATTAATAAGCTGCAGGAAGAAGTAGAAATGTACAAGCAAGAGAAATCTATCTATTTGTCCTATGAAAAACGGTGAGATGTAATGCAGCTAATGCAGTACTAACTTTCTGAGTCACAAGACTATTTTCAAATATTGGGCAGGCTTCAAGGAATCAGTGAATAGTTATTATTTTCATTATTTTATTTTTACATATACAAATCTTACCCTTTGAAGTTTGACTTTTTGTTTCATATTTAGGGCAGAGGCTTTAGCTGGTGAAATCAAAGATTTTCAAGGTCAACTAGCAGACTACAACATGGTATGCTGATTTTGTAGTGCTTTTGATTTATTCTGAGTAATTTTTCTGACATTTCTTTGTGAAAATATACTGCTTAATACTGCCTTTATTCAGTTATTGAAAAGGAAAGAGATGGAAACAGATGAAAACAAAAAGTGTACTATATATTATGAGAAGCATTTGCATATGGATTTAAGAAATTGGTGCTGTGTAATATTTTAGTGCTTAGAACAGCTACATATAATGATTATTTCTAAAAATGACATGTAATCTATTCAGATTCCTAAATCATGCTTTTTCCAATTGCAATAACCAAAATTTGCTGTGTTTTCATGAACCCTTTGTCTGATTTTTTTTTTTTTTTTAAGAAAAGGAGAGCAGTAACAGGTTGAAATTCTGTCTTGTTTCAGGTTGTGGATATACTTAACACCAGTACAGATATGGCAGAAGTGATCCGTGATTACAACATGGTAAGAATTAAGATATTTGCTATCGTTTAACAGTGAAATGATGCATAACTTTCTTGGTGCTTTGATGTGAGACATATCTAAAAAAGCATAGCACTGACTTAAAGCTTAGCCATTTTTTTCCAGTTAAATTATTCATAATGTTGGCAACATGTTAGCATTAAGTCAATTGCCTGAAGTCTTGTATTAACAGCCCCATGATAGTTTTCTGTGATTTACATTTGAAAAGGGTGTTATCCCAACCCAAATTATGAGTGTTAAATTATCTTTTTTTTATTTTTTGGCAGCACACAACACTAGTCTTAGGAAGGCAAATTTAAGCAGACTGCGCTGCCTTGTGAAGCTGCCTGGTCTTCTGGACATTAGGTTCTCTTTTGTCCTCAGCCTTTTTAAGTGTCTCCAGTGTAAAAAATAGTAAATAGGTTTCTGACATAGCCACCACAAAATCAAAGATTTTTGTTCACCTTTACTTTCCTTACTTATTTTCTAATACAGCCTCTAAGTGTTAAGGCATGAATGGCGTTATGTGTATTTTATTTCTTGTGATCAATTTGTCCATAAACAATATAAACCAGTTTCAGTAAAGGTTGTTTTGGTAACTTGAAAGATGACCTGAATATTTCTTGGTCAAAACAGGTTTTTTTTTTTGCTTGCATTTGATTGAATAATAAAGATACAGTGTCTCTGTCATAAAGACACGCATCATAAAGAGATGCTTTTCATCCCATCTGTGTATTTTTAAACAGTATATTAGTAAGTGTTTCAGGAATAGATCCCACAGAAATAGTAAGTGAGTCAATTTATCTGGAAGTACTTAAAAGATGTGTACATGTTGTTGTGGTTTAATGGTGGACTTGTCAGTGCTGGTTAAGGGTTGGACTTGATGATTCTGGAGGTGTTTTTCAACCTATATGATTCCATGATTTATTACAAACTTGATGGTATTTATTTTTTTTTTAAGTTAAAGGTTCAGAATGACCGAGACACTCAGAATATAGATAAAATTTTCACAGAAAGACAAGCGTAAGTACATTAAGTCTATGTTTTTCATTTTTGAATAACTCAACTTCTCATAACTTAGCTTGGGAAAATTGAGGTGCTACCTGTTACCCTAGGAGTGCAATGCATATCGCAAGTGATACCTGAACAATTTCAAGATGATATACCAGGTTGTAGTTAAGAGTTCCTAACGTTAAACTCCGGTTATTCTTCTGAACATAATTACCCTGCCATCCAGGAAGGGTTAGGTGGCAGTAGAGACTCCTGTCTTTTTGCAGTCTGCTGTCTGGGAGTTTTGGGAGTTTTGTTGCAGAGTAGTAGAGTGAAAAACGCAAGCAGGAGTGGGAACTAGACCTTTGCCTGGCTAGTAACATAGGTTTGTGCAGAGGGAAAGATGAGGATGGTGAGATGCTTGAAATAAGAATTTGTAAGCCATGAGAACAGCTTGTGTAGGGATAGGCTGAGAGGGTGAGTTTTTGAGGTAGTTGATTTAGACACAGGAAATCTGGAGGAGAGAGCTATATGATCTCGCTTGTTGCCAGTGAAAGCAATCTCAGCAATGAGATTTCATGTATCAATAAGAACTCCAAAGCAACGAATTTACCAGTTAATAATGTCACATTGTATTAATACTGCGGTTTTCAACAGCTCACAAGTGTGTCTCTTCCGCCCTGAATTAATCTTTTAAGTGTTCAGAAAATATGAAGAGAAAATATTTGGTTTGGTAGCAATGCAGTAAGGATAATCTGTCATTGCACTGTACATACACATTTTTGGGAATACAACAGTTGGTCTTTCTTGCTCTGCTAATTTGGGTTAAAAAATACCCAAATGCTCCATTCTCTGACTGTGTTAGTTTTCCCTATAGCCGTCAGAGATGCTACAGCGTTGGTTTGGAGCCAGCCCCCAAGTCTGGCTGTGGTGTGCTTCAGCAATTTAGAGGAATTATTTTTCTCTTCTAGACTTCTTCACAATGAAAGCATTAATGATTATGCCAACTTCACCTGCTACTTTGTTCATGTTGAAGAATATACAGTAAGCCCCCCAAAATAAGTAACCAAATACATTTTTATAAAAAGTGGATTAAGAATCTTTTTTGCAAGTTTTGAAGTATTTGTTGTGCCAATAATGCACACATATGACCCTATTTTTTCTCTGCATGATTGATGCAGCAAAATCTTGTTAAGGATTTGGCAAGATTAAAGGAGATAGACTGCATGACTTCATTTTGTACTGTATGTAATAAAGCATAACGTTGAAGTACAAGTGTACTACGTTTTTGAAATGTCAGTTCAACATCTGTTGTTTAAGACATTAACGCTCCTCATTTACATAAATATCTATGTATTTATCCTCAATAAATCCATCTTCTTCATCTCCACATGCATGAACTTTCTCAAATACTACAATGGGTTCTTCACTGCTTGTGCCCGATATTGAAGGAGAAGGACTCAGGTCAGCTGAGAACTCCTGTTCAAACATCTCTGAGTCATTTTCTTCCAGTCGACGGTGACGGTAGCTGATCAAGTAGTGATACCATGCTGGACATTTTACAGCAGTAAAAATCAGGAGTGTAGTGCCTAGGACAAACCCTAGGACACCTGCTAGGAAGGTCCAACTTTTGCCAACAAGTGGTAACTCTTTAAAAAAAAGGAAAAAAAAAAAAGAATCTTCATGAGGAATAGTAGCAAGAACTCAAGTATGATTTCTTTCATAGTGAAATTGAAAACTCACAAAATAAACATTGATAGGGGAATGACTGAGTGTCTCCAGAGCTTTGTTGTTGCTGTGTTGTTTGGGAGTCAGTAACATCACAGAGACTAATAATGTATGTGCATGGCATATTTCCTAGCAGAAATATGTGATGTACATACATAGAAAAATGCGATGTGCATAAATGTCCTATTTCCTACCTTGCATTTTTATAAAAAATAATTGTTTCAAAGTCTATTTCAAAGACAAAGCTCTGAGGGGCGTTTAAAAGATACAAATAATAATTACATATAAATATTTTTTTCCAAAAGTTAAATTCCAAGATTAGCCTTTGGAAAAAAATAATCAGTAATTGGCTTCAAATTCTATTTTCCCTGCTTTACATTTTATATGATGGTACGATCTGAACACTAAAATATCATGCCTTTTGTTTGGCGTGTCCTTTCAGTTGTGCTTCTTTAATAATAAAAATTTCAGTAAACTGTAGTTGCCAGTGGTCTTTTTCTAGAAGCTGCTTTTGTGTGCTGGCCACTACCCTAAAATAAATTATAAGATGGTACAGCTAAAGAAATGTGTCACAGTGGTAGCTTACAATTTGTGTATATAACTGTTGATAATTTTCTTGCTTTAGCCAGAACAAAGAAGTAAAGCATTTCAGAATGGAAGAGTTAACTGACATGTAAGATTAACATTGAAAGGTGAGGAGACTACCACTGAAATTTTCAGGGAATGTGCAAGAGGCACATTCACATCCTTTATACTGAACACAGTTAGGATGGGAGTAAAATCTCTTAAGTTCATGCTATCATGTTTTAGGAAGGCAACTACATCTAGAAAGCAGTTAGTTTGGAAAAAGCAAATTTTTTTTGAAAGTTGCTTCCCTTGTTCTCTTGGGCAGAGATCTAGGCAATTATCTGAATTTTAGGGCTTTGAAATTTCATCATAATTTTTCAGTATCATTTGAGAGTTCTGGGGTTTATCTGTTTTGAACACCTACTCTATAGACCTTAACGTTCCCTGCAATGTCTATTACTGTCTACTAGGACATAGAAATATGCCTGCTCTGTAGCCCTGGCCTTTATGGAAGAGTCAGAGTGTACTAGGGATGCAAAACAGTACAAAGTCATTGAACAGCAAATGAAACAGCTCATAAGCAGTAAAATGAAATATCTGTGTATTACCTGCACGAGTTCCATTGTTTCCAGTGATGTTGTATGGAGTCAGAGCTGTTAAGGCACTACTTCTAAGATTAACAGCAGGAGTGGAAGTTACAGTGTTTTCTAAAGGAGTATTTTCAATTTTGCAGTCAGCTGGTTGGATAGCTGCCATCTTGATGGAGATTTTTTCCTTTTTTGGGAATGTACATGTAGTGTTGCTTTCATTTTCTGTGAATGTGAGCAGTGAAAAGGCTATGAGATGCTGGTAATTTTTTGGCACGCTAAAAAAACCCTCACGGATAGCTATTGTATTACTGCATAATATGGGTAAATTGATGGTTGATTTTATCCACGTCAGAAAAAAAAATGCACAGTAAAGTTATTTGATGCTCTTACCAAAACTTACCCAATGTCACATTGGAGTCAGTTAGCCATATCTGTAAGTCAAGGAGATCACAGGAGCAGATCCATGGGTTTCCAGCTAAAACAATTTTAACCAGTTTAAAAGATGATTTTATATGAAAATATTTCAGCAAATTATACTGTAGATTTAAAACTGTTAGGCTTTCTAGAGAAGAAAATGTATCTGAATCCAGTTGAGCAATCATGTTATAGGATAGATTCAGCACTGAGAGTTGATTTAATCCTGCAAATGCTGCTTTATGAACTCTGCTAATACAATTGTTGCTAATATCCAGAGTGATGAGATTTTTCAGATTGTAGAAGCTGTTATTGTTCAGTACAGTAATGTTGTTTTCATTCAGATTAAGTTCAGTGAGGCTAATAAAACGTCCAAGAATCTCTTTGTCATGATCTTCTAAAGTGATTTTATTGTTTTTGAGGCTTAATTTAGTAATGTTTTGAAAAAGGTTGAGGGAGATATTAAAGAGGTTCTTTGTAGACTCCTCACAAGCAACCTGTTGAAAAAAGAGAATGACAACAATTAAATACCGTAGAGAAGTCTACTAAATATGGTGTTTCAGTGAGGACTCTTAAAGGCAAGAGAGAACAATCTTCTGTTTTTCAATGCTGTCATTTTAAAAGAAAAGTCATATTGCTCTTCATTAAGTTTTATTTACATCTTTCTTAATTAACTCCTGGTCTGGTGAGAGAGGGGAATGAATCCAGGTTCCAGAGGACTTAATGCCTAGCTCTGTGCCTAGATGCATGGGTCTTTATGTGATGGTCATCCAAAATGGAACCAGTTTGTCATGCCATTTTGGAATTAATATTTGGAATGTATTATTGTTGGGTAAAAAAAGAGCATAATCTGGAAAGAAGGTGTCATAGAGGAAATTTATTCAAAACTGCAAATTAATTAAAATATACTTTCTGAAAGGTATTCTTTTAAAAAATCTATGTTTATTCTTAATTTAAAATAATGTCTTTAGAGCAGACCTTCAACTAAACATTTGTTATATATCTGTATGCTATAGCACTTAATTTTGGTTTTCTGTGTTAAAGTTTAGCATAGCTAAACTTTTCTGATTTGAGTCTTTGCGCTTAGTACCTTGAAATATTATTTTTTTTTTCTGAGAAGAGTATATTTATTTAAATATGTAAAGAGGCATTCCTGTTGTTTGGAAGAACTTGAGATACAAAATCATCTCAAATATGTTTTGGTGTTATTCACCCACTTAAAATTACTATCATGAGCTAATTGTCCATTACACAGAAAACCACTTCTTACTTGCATTTTTATACTTCTTTCTTCAGGACTTTTATGTTTATGAAACAGTTTTTAAAAGGCCTTCTGCTTCAAGTGTATCTTTTAAAAATAAGGGTAGTTCAGATCAATGTAAAACTTACAGTTTGGGATGTAATGTTGCAGTCAGCAGTGACTGGATTCAAAAACAGTGTTCCAGCCCAGATCACAAGCCAATGGAGTTTCATGTTTGGAGCCTAGTAAAGAACAACACTTTTGCATATCAGGACCAGAATTACCAGTGTTTTCTGTAGTGGTAGTTTAACAAATTAATAGATACAGTTATTTCAATGATAGTTTAGTAAATTTTGTTCTACACAAATACTTTTTGTTCTACACAAATACTTTGTAATGTAAAATTAATTTGAAAAACGGGTTATCAGAATTAATGAATTCAGCTTTCACTTAATTGAGCCAAACCTAAAATCCAGTGTGCAGACTGTATCAGC